CAACATAGTTCAATATGATCTAATGGAATAGGTCATGAATTACGGGTCCTTATGGCTTTCGGCGCTTTGACTCTTAACGACTTGGTGAAGCGAACTGGGCATCAATGTGTTGCGCTGTCAGTTCCGCCACTAGTAACGCCAGAGGCCTGATCATACTCTTATATATATATATACACACATAGATCGCTCTGCTTGGAACAACTGTCAGTTTACGTAACATTTAGCCTGTAGCGGGGGTATAGGCAGGCGTGAGTTTCGAAACACAGCGTATGGTTCGAAACACGCGCCTGCCACGGCCCCAACCCAGTAACCCAGTAACCCATTAACCCATTGACCCGTTGACCCATTGACCCATTAACCCATTAACCCAATCGTTCTGGCCAAGTGAACTTGCCTTAACCCGTTAACCCATTAACCTGTTAACCCATTAAACCAGTCATTCTGGCCAAATGAAATTGCCTTAACCCATTAACCCATTAAACCAATCATTCTGGCCAAATGAAATTGCCTTAACCCCTTAACCCATTAACCCAATCAATCTGGCCAAATGAACTTGGGAGTAGAGTCCAGTCCCACTTGGGCAAATCATTGGGTTAATGGGTCAATGGGTTGGGCAACTGATTGGATTAATGGGTTAATGGGTTACGGAAATGATTGGGTTAATGGGTTAATGGGTTAAGGCAATTCCATTTGGCCAGAATGATTGGGTTAATGGGTTAATGGGTTGGGCAAATGATTGGGTTAATGGGTTAATGAGTCCGGCAATTGATTGGGTTAATGGGTTATTGGGTCGGGTTGGGGCCTCCTACGGATATGTTTCGAAACAGACACTAGTTTCGAAACCAGATAGCAGAATCCATGAATAGAAAAGCGAAGTTGCTGAAATGCAGGCGGGGAATGACTACCTACCCATACATAAATAAAAATATGTATATATGTACAAACACAAAAAACTCGATTCAATTCGTCAAGGCCCTATATGTCAAAAGGCTATAAGTCCCTGATAGAACCCTGCATGGAGCCCTTTTTAAGGAACCCTGTCCCAATCATTACAGCTCCAATCCTTGAGGACGACATGAGCCCTAAACGGGTTGAAGGTTCATCTACCATATTGTTGTTCATAGTAAATAGTATAAGGGTATAGCCCTAAACCCTAAACGCCTGAACCCTAAACCCAGTATAAGTGTACAGGGCCTCTGCTTCTAAGGGTTATTTGGCCCCCACGTCACAGCTTTCCGCATCTTTGCCGGCAGGCCTTCAGCTAGAGCCGCCCGAAACAAGGGCATCGATTTTGGTTTTAGGCTTGAGGGTTTAGGGGTTTTGTGGCTTACAGGTTCTAGGGTGTAGGGTTTTATAGGGCCCAGGTTTGAGGTTTTATAGGGTTAGGTGTTTAGGGTATCCGAATTCGGAGGCAGTGGCAGCATGGCGATCTTGCCGAGCATTCCGCATGGTGTGTTTCGGCCGTCGTGGCTGTCAGAGACACTTTGGGCGCTGCCCCCACTCTGTAACTGTTGCATAATATGTATAACAAATACAATTTAAATAAAGCCGTGATTGTGACCCCTATAACATGGACTGTTACAGGGTGGGCGCAGTACCCAAGAGATGCTATCTGGCTGATAGCTTGCAGACCCTCAACCCCTTGAGCAATAAACCCTAAACCACCCTACGTGAAAGCCTAAGGGTACCTTGCAGAAGATTTTGCCGAAGGGAAACCCTAAACCCCGAAACCCTCGATCATGCCTTGCCTATGATCTTCCTGAAGTGCGACGAGGCTTTGTGCAAAAGAGAGCCTTCCACGCCTGTAGGTGGTCAACCCAAACCCGCAATCCCCAAAGCCTGCCTCTAGCACCAAAGCCCTGCCTTTTTTGGAAGTCCCTACTTAGACCCTCCATCTACCTTCTCTTAGACCCAAACTGCCCATTATTTGGGGCTATATATACCTCTATTTAAGGGTACATGGAAGGTCCTGGTACATCTTCCCTCAAGAAGGCATGCCTTTTGGGGTGGCACGGGTCGGTCCAAGGCGGTGTTGGGTTGGGAAGCTTTACACTTCCCGAAATCTGTTAGGGGTTTGGTGTTTAGGATCTACTCGGAGGTTTATGGGTAGTATAAGTGGGGTTATAAGTAGGGTAACTACAGTTAAGAGCCCTGTTAGGGGACTTATGACCCCACTTATAAACACTCATGAACCTCGAAGTAGGGTGTAGGGTACCCAGAGACTCCAATATCCCTTAATTAAGGAATATACCTTAAATTATAGCAGGGATCCCATTATAATTCAAGGTATATTCCTTAATTAAGGGATATTGGAGTCTCTGGGGTGTAGGGTAATTCAGTCCGTGAGTTTCAATCACAAAGCGTTTTGGGGATTGGGGCGCAGGGCTCAGGGTTTAGGATTACGTCAGCAAGGGTAGCAGTATGCAGCGCTTCACGATGATGGTGGTTTTGCACAGGGAAGCAGCTTTTTGCGCCGGTATTGCTTCGACGTAGGGGCAGGGTATACATAACCTTTCTGGGTACATACTTACACAACTCTAGTATACTCAGAGGGTTGACCTTTGTGGGGGGCTATGGTGCGCAGACACGAAGTTAGAAGTCAGGTGCAGGTCTCGAAACCCATTGACCCGACCTGTCTGCGAGCCATTTTGACCGCCCAAGGTGCTTGAGGTGTTTCCCATTTTTGCCACTCAGGAGAATGACCAAGGGCTCCAACGCGAGGGTGGCTCAGGCCATGGCCCTGGCTTCCGCCGCCGCGGCAGGCTCCGCCTTCACCATGATGGCGGCTCCTGAAGGGTCGCAGTCGCGCGTCGTGGCCCGTGCGTCGGGACCAAGCCCGGTTTCCGCGCCAAGCTGCGGTGGAGTCGCCGGTGTGACGGGCCTAGTGGGCGCAGGCTTGGTGGCCAGCGCTGCGCTCAGCCGCTCCGTCAAGCCCCGTGGTGGCAAGAAGAACCTGGTGTCCATGGCTGCAAGGGGTGGAGAGAGCTATGACGCTCTGGTGAAGGACCTGGAGACACTCGTCAAGGAGAAGGAGTGTGGACCGATCCTGGTGCGCCTGTCATGGCACGATGCCGGCGTGTTCTCGGATGGCAAGCTGAAGGGTGGATGCCCGAATGCCGCCATGCGATTCACCGACGGTGGAGAGGGCACCTTCGGCGCCAATGCAGGGCTCCCGGACGTTGCTCTTGGCCTGCTGAAGCCCATCACCGACAAGTACGTTCCCGACACCATCGGACATGCAGATCTGTGGACCTTGGCCGCCAATGTGGCGATCAAGGTGATGGGAGGCCCGGACATCAAGACTCGATTCGGCCGCAAGGATGCCGAATCCTCTGCCGACTCCGTGGAATCTCAGGTGGGCCGCCTCCCGGACGGAGACAAGGAGATTGATCACCTTCGGGAGATCTTCGCCCCAAAGGGCTTCAGCGACAAGGAGATCGTGGCCCTCTCGGGTGCGCACACCGTCGGAAAGTGCCACTTGGATCGCTCCGGCTTCGACGGCCCTTGGACGGAGGCACCCTTGAAGTTCGACAACAGCTACTTCAAGGACATGCTGGCAAAGGAGTGGACTGACGACAAGTCGGAAAAGGGCAACCCTCAGTTCAAGAGCGAGAGTGGCACCATCATGCTCATCTCCGATCTCGCGTTGCTCAAGGATCCTGCTTTCAAGGAGCATGTCGAGAAGTATGCGGCCGATCAGGATGCCTACTTCGCAGACTTCACTACGGCCTGGGTGAAGCTGCAGGAAAACGGATGCTCCGACCTGCGGGACAGCCTTTGAACACTGTCCAGTTAGTCCATTTTCGAGCCGCTCACGCGCATATCCACCTCGCCGTGAGAAGGGTGAGCGGCGATATTTTTCTTTCGCATCTATAAATTCAGAACGTAGCTACTTTTAGCAGACCAAAGCCACCGTCCAGCTGGAAGAGGCAGAAATACAGAGGCAAGGGCACCACCTCAATGGCGAGTCTTTCGCATGTCTTGGGACGTTACTTTGAGAACCATTGTTTCACGATTTCAGACGTTATACACTATATGTTATAACTGGTGCTGCTAGGCTAGGTAATTAGTATGCATCTCATTTTATGGGGGCACAGTGGGAAAGAGTGAGTCAGACAGTGAATCGCCTCCATGTTCCAAGATAGCTGTTCCGAGATGTACGACTAGTAGGTCCCGATTTGGGATAGTTGTTATACAATGTCCCTGTATCATTGCCTAATATAGAGCCCAAATTAGCCCTAACTATAAGTAGTTTTGGGGCTGTTGAAATCGACACCTCGTGTAAGAGTTCCAGAGTAGCACGAACCTTGCCTGAATACGAAATCCCGTTATGCTGCTTTCTTGGCGGAGGAAGCCCTTACCACCTGCGTACTTGAAGGTTCATGGGTAGTTATACGTGGGTTAATAAGTAGGATACATATAAGTATAACCCTCATCAGGGACTTATAACCCTACTTATAACTACCTATGAACCTCCAAGTACTGCCGTTTGCTTCCGGTTGCCGGCCTGTCATAGAACTTGCTGGGATGAGCTGTAGCCGTTTGGTGAAGGCAGTGTAGGTAGGGGCTTGAGCAAGAGTCAGGGTTCGGGACCCCGCACCTCGAAGGAGCTGCTCGTGTAGCAGAAGTCTATGTCATGTGCTTTAAACCCAAACCCCGAAGACCCTTAAAACAGCGGGGCCCCTAAACCCTAAACCCTAACCCTAAGCCCCAAACCCTAAACCCTCCTAAACCCCGAAACCCTTGGGTATAAATTTAAACCTCCACACCCTACACAGCCAGAAGCTCCTTCTACGGTGGCTGCAAGGGCAACTATATCTACCTGGACCCCCCAAAGTAGGTAAAATAATGGCCCAGGATCTATAACAAGGCTATTATTATTTCTAGATACTTTTGGGGTCCAGGTAAGGGTTACTATAAAACACTGAGCATAAGGGGCAGCATAACGATTACAGGAAACCCAAACCCTACAACGTCGGAAGATTCGTCCGCCCCCCGCCATGTGGTGCTTCTCGCGCAGCTTTGCTCTGGACTGCTCCGGGCCCTGTGCACCTGGGAAAGACCAGGAGCTCGTAGCTGTAGGCTTTTCCGTCTTGCAGGGTTCATAACCTACCTTTGGTTCGTGGGGAATGGAAGAATGGTAGTATTAGTAGTTACAATTGTGCCCCATTCCTCCATTCCCTACTAACCCAAGGTAAGTTAACCCTCAAACTTAGTAGCTGAGTAGGTAACCTTTGACCCCTTTGGGGCCTGCACAGTAAGCCTACCCTAATTAACAAGGTTAACGTTTTTGCGCTAGGGTCCCCTAAGCAACCCCTAAACCCCTAAACCCATGTAGGGTTTTAGAGTTTAGGGCTTACTATATATAGGGGCCTTAATAATTACCGATAATTACCATTTTGGGCTTTCCTTATTATAGTTACAGTAGAATGGACCCCAAAGCCAAATTCTAATTCCTAAGGCCCCTGTATGAATTAAGGGTGTTCAAGGCCAAGGCATGAAGGATGTGATGCAGGTGGCACAAGACAAGAGGCGCAAGTAAGCAAGAAAGCGGTTTAGGGTTTAGGGTTTTAGGGTTTTGGGGTTTAAGGGTTTAGGGCTTTCGGGTTTAAGGGTTTCAGGGTTTAAGGGTTTAGGGCTTTAGGGTTTTATGCAAGACGTCTGCGGACCATCCAAGCGAGAAGCACGCCAACGTTGCTGGCTTCAGGGTTTTAGGCTTTAGGGTTTAGGGTTTTAGAGTTTAGGGCGACACCACAACCTCCACCACGAGTACCACCACTGCAACAGGAACATCCAGCAGAACGACAGCAGCAGCAAGCACAGAAGCAGGGTCCGCAATTAAGAGCAATACTGGCAAAGGAGGAAGCATCCGGGAATTCTGCTTGGAGTGATGTCCTCTTGATTCTGCGATGTGCAGGAGCTGATCGTTGCTGACCAGGAGGACCTCCGACTGCAGTAGCAAGTTAGGGTTTAGGTTGAGGGTGCTTTTCGGCAAGGGCATCAACCCCCAAAAAGCTAGCAATGGTAACGTACACAAGCAGGAAAACGAAGTCGCAGACAAGCTTAAAGCCCACGAAGAAGCATGACCTATGAGGTTCTGCTCGCCCTTCACAGGTGGATTGATTTGCAACAGTAGGCCGGCTGCATTGAAGTACCCAAGTTGCGTTCAGCACACGAAGTGGCGTTGTGATCAGTACGTATTAAGCAAAGCAAGTCACATGAGCTTATGTAAGTTGCCAGGCAACACTGACAGGAAGAATGAGAGATGATATTCGGCAACACCTTCCTAATCACGAGTCATCGTCACCAGATATCTCGGAATCACTCTGACTGCCAGATCGCCAGGACGGTCCCTTAGCTTACTAGGGAACCACCTGGACCCCAAAACTATGTAGAACAATGGCCTTTTATAGGTTTTTGGCCATTATTTTAACTACTAGGTATGGTCTTTCATGCAGATCATGTGGCAATCTTGACAAGTCGAGGCGCCACCTCGCCTAGCTACTCGCGGGGCGATGAGTTTACAAGCCTCCGACCGATTCTGGGATGCATTCCAAGGCAGTTGGTACCGTGTGGAGGATAATCGCTGTGTCGGTGAGATATTCGGGAACAGCATGATCTGGCACTCACAGTGGAACATGCCGGAAGCAGAAAGTGTGCTGGAGAGCCTGAACGACGACGCAGTCCTGCACGAAGTTAACGGTCACGTTCTCCTGGGCAGAATCCGTCGAGATGCGCAGATGACCATACTGTGGAGTGATGGTGATGTGTGGCGGCTGAAGTAATGATGGGTTGTAAGTTCACCGAGCGCCGCATGATGTTGCCGGTTCTGCTCGGCAAACACAGCAGACAATTTTAGCATACAGGTTGCCTGCTCAAGCTGTCAGCCTATTCCCAAACTAGAGCTTTGTGGCATGGCGACGTTGCAAAGCAACTCGCATGCTCCTCTGCGATCGCGTGGAAATCTTGGCCGGTGCTGTCGAAAACGACGTCTGAAGGGTTCTGTCTCCATACCGTACGTAATTCTTATCTTTACGGTCATCCTTATCAGCATCGTCATTACCACTTATTGTTATCACTGCTCTTATCAGCCCTCATGCGGCTCCGAAATGTCCTGCAGTTTGCGTTGCAGTTTGCAGCTGTTTTTTAACAGTGAGATCGTAAGTCCTGCTACTGATATTCCAAGATATAGCCTCGCCTGCACACTATAGGGGCCTTAATAATTAACAATACTATTTTTTTTTTTTGGGGGGGGTCCTTGTTATAGCTATAGTATAATATACCCCCAGAACCTCTATTCTAATTATTAAGGCCCCTATATTAGGTAAGTTTTTGCCTCAAGGATCCCCTGAAGCAGAGGATACAGAGGCATATAGAGAAGCATCTCTACGCCACAGCGCTGTCTTCTTGGAGAGCCCCTGGCAGAATTAGGATTCAGGGTTTTGGGTTAAACCCCAAACTGCACACACCTCGGAAGCTAAGATTAAGTACCATTCCACAAACTGTATGGGGCCTAGAACCCTCAATCTAAGGTTGAAGAGCCTCGACGCTTGGCGTTCTTCCGGTTGGCTCTTAGGACTCAAACTTTTTAGGCTTTTCTATATGATCTGTAATACGGAGGCTAACAGGTTAACTGTTAGGGGGGTTCAGAAGTCAGCCAAGGAAGCGGATAGACCTCCCTAACAAGAGGTCCTCCCTCAATGGATGTTGGCTCTCTCCCCTGAAGGCTTCTGTTGCGCGCTGCGCTGTCTGAGAGAGCACTGGGCGATGATTCGCATTTCGTTGGCAAGAAGGTGTGTAGAATCTCAGACGATCAAATGAATGCCGAGTAAGGTATGGAAAAAAATAAGAAGTAAGGTACAAGCATTCTCAGGACCATGTGTTTGGAAGGGCTGCAGTGGTGGTTTTCCATTATGCAACTCTTGTTTTCGGTTGCATGACTCAAACTCGCGATA